GCAAGCGTGCGGTACTCACAATGACGTCAAACCTTGAGTAGAGGCCCACCACTTGCCCTGCAAAGAGATGCACAGCGTGGGATCGGGGGTTCAGAAGGGTCCCCGGGTGACATGCTCCTTCCAGAACCCCGGGACAGCAGAGCAGGGGACCTGGGTGCTGCTGGACATGGGATGGGAAGGGAGAGCTTGCTGGTGGGGATGGGGCAGGAGCCCCAAGAAGGGGGAMAGGGGATGGCCGGGCCCCTCAGCACCCCCTCCCCATTTACCCACCTGCATCGTTGACAACGGGCAGCGCGGACACGCGGCGGTCCACGAAGATCTCCAGGGCTGTGTAGATGGGCGCGGACTCGGGCACGACGGCCACGTCGCGGAAGGTGCCCACGCACAGCTCCTGCACCGTCTTCTTGAGGAAGCGCGGCTTGCGGATGGTGGGGCCCTGCAGCGGGCAGGCGGCGCTGGGCAGAGCCCCGGCGCGCCGCGCTGGGCACGCACCGGCACGCACGGGGAGCCCTGCGGCCGCCCCCTTCGCCCCCACACTCACAAAGATGTGCAGGAACTTGAGGATGCGCTTGTGCGTGAGGATGTGCAGGACGTTGCCCGAGACGGGCTCGATCACAGGCAGCCGGTGGATTTTGTGCTTGATGAGGGAGTAGACGGCGTCGAAGAGGCTGTAGGTGACAGGGCCGCCGTGGGGAGGGGGACACAGCTGTGCCCAGACCCTGCCCGCTAGCATCCCAGGTCCTCTCCATCCCGGCACCACCACTGCAGGGTTCCTCCCGCACGTGGCACCAGCCCCAGGAAGGGGCAGCCCCAGCAGAGCCGCGAGGGRCAGCAGGGCGCTGCGGTGCCGGGCACGCGGCAGGCAGGCTGCGCTCCGGGGCGAGCCCGTGCCCRCCGGGACCCCAGGCTCACCTGTCGCTCGGGGAAATGTAGACCAGCGGCTTGAAGGAGCCTTGCAGATACACCTCTGGGAAGGGAGAGCGGTGGGAGAGGGGCACCCGCAGGGCTGCACTGCACCCCAAACCTCTCCTGCGGCCACTGCCACCCCTGCGTGCAGCTGCATGCCTCCGTGCCCCATCGTTGCACCCGCCACCATGCCAAGAATCATGTCCCCAGCCCGACTCCTCTGCTCGTACCTCGCCACGTCTCAATCTTGTGCTCCTCCACCTCGTAGATCTGAACCTGAGGGCCGCRAGAGGCTCCATCACGGAGCGGCCCTGCCTGCAGCCGCGGGGCTGCTGCCCCGTCCCTGGCCATCCCACCCCATCTCCCTGAGCACAGGGATCACATCCCGGGGTCCCCATGGGCGCCAGGGGCACACAGGCAGGGCCTGAGCCCCCTCCAAGGCAGGGGCAGACACACCGCTGGGCCCGTCCCTGGCTGTAGGGGAGCTTCCATGGAGCTCCCATGGGTGCAGCAGCCCATGCTGGGCCCCAGGCTGGCTCAGAGCCCCCTCAGCACTAAAATTACCCCCCGGGGGGAATGATGAGATGCAGGGAACAAGGCCCAGGCGGGAYGCGGGCCAGGGACAGACCTTTCCCCGCCCAGGGGCTGGCCCTGCCCCTTGCCCAGCTCTGCCCAGCACGCTGCCCCAGGCCTCACCAGCGGCGAGCGGTAGTAGCGGTGCAGGATGTTGATGAAGTCGGTGATGGTGAGCATCCCTGCGGAGACACGCGGGCTGGCACCGCCGCCGCGGCAGCCCTGCGGCCCGGCCGCGCGCCCGGCCACTCACCCACGAAGCTCTGCGTCTTGCTGTCCCAGAGCGGGGCCGCCCGCACCCCGTTGGCCACCAGAGCCACGAAGGCCTTCTTGATCTGCTGGCAGAGCAGAGAGCGGGTCGCGCGTGTCCCCGAGCTGCCCCGTGCCCGCGTGCCCCGCGGTGCCCGCAGCAGCGTCACCTCCAGCGTGGTGTCGAAGACGACGAGCTTGCAGCTGGTGGGCAGCGCGTCGTAGCAGCAGTGGCTCCTCATGAAGTGCATGTAGACCTCGGCGTCGGGCGTCTGGAACTCGCTGTCCGGGCCCGGCCCCAGCCCCAGCATCTCGGTGCCCAGCGTGAAGGTGACAGGCCTGGTGCCCCTCCACCTCTCATCGTCATCCTCGTCCTCCTCCTCTCTGGCACATGGTGCTGCCAGAAACCCTGCAGCTGGACCCCCCCCAGCCCTGGGCGGTGAGCTGAGCTGCCAGGTCTCAGCCAAGGGCTCTGAGGGGGTGCTCTGAGTGGAGATGCTGTGCCCAGCCCCCTGTCCGGGCCAGCCCTGCGCTCCTGTGCCCAGTCCACATGGATGGGGACTGTGCAGCAGCTCTCCAGCCATGAGGCTGGGGACACCCTGGGAGCAGCTTGTAAGGAGCTCAGGAGCRGGGCTTGTGGTGCAGGGGATGGGATGGGCACGCACACGGCATGCACGAGCACTGCCACCCACCTGCCTGCTCCGGGYGGACAGCGGCGCTCAGCAGCGACATCTGAGGGGTCACAGGAGAGGGGTCAGCAGGAGGAGCCCCCTTGCACGCACCCCTCCTGCTGCCSGGCTCCTCTTTGCTCAGGAGCAAGCCACACCAAGCGGAGCCAGCCCGTGGCACATGTGGAGCCAGGCCCTGGCCACCTGGGTGCCCTCTTTGCCATCCGAGCGCGGCGGGTCCCGCAGCAGCTCTGCGCCCTTCCTCTCCCTTCCCTGCTCCAAGGTGTAAATCCCAGCCCTGATTCCTCCAGGCCCGTCGGAGCGGGGCAGGCGATGCCGGGCGCCCGGCCAGCCCCACCTGGGCACCAGGTCTGTGCCCTGCTGCCCTGGCAGAGCCCGCGGCGGTGGCAGCAGCGGCAGCAGCAGAGGCGGCAGCAGCGCGGGCACGGGGACAGCCACCGGGCGAGCGCTGGCCCGTGTCCCCAGGGCCCCGGGGGACCCCGCCACGCAGAGCAGCTCGTATTTACAGCCCACAGCCCTCTCCAAAGGGCATCGCTGGCCCCAGCCGGGAGCGGGGGCCCTCTGCTAACACCCCCGCTGCCACTCCAGCCGTTCCCAGCGCTGGGGCCGGCCGCGGCCAGGACGGACACGCAGGCTGTGCCGCGCTCCGGGCCCCGTGCGCGGGGCTGCAGGGACGGGGCTGCCGGCCCCCCCGGTACCGCGCGGTGCCCACGTCCCCCGCGGCGCTGCCCGGCCGCGCGCGGTACCTGCGGGGCAGCGGCGCTCGGGAGCTGCTCCATGCTGACCGCGCGGCCGGGCGGCTATTCTGGGCCCACGGCTGCTGCGCGGCCTGGCAGATAGGGTGTCAGGGAGCGGTGCCAGCCGTGCCCCCGCCACCACGGAGCGACGGAGGGAGGAGCCGCCGGGCCCACGGGCACCTGCTGGCGCTGGGGGGGACGGCGGGGGCCTCGGGGGCAGCAGCAGCTCAAAAGGGGGCCGGGGGTGATGGACAGAGGGGCCACTGGCAGGAATCCTGCCCCTTGCAGCCCCTTTATGTCCCTGCTCGACACCGCGGGGGATGCAGCCCTGTGTGCCCGGGTGCTGCCGGCGCCTGGACCAGCCCCTTGCTTGATATGGGGCTATCGCAGCRCCACAGCCCCCAGGGCTGCACGAGCAAAGATCCTGTCCCTGCATGGGGGCAGTCGCAGCAGCTGGGCACACGGGACAGGCCAGACGCTGGGCCTGTCGCCCTCAGGCTCCTCTTTGGGCAACCCTTCCCCACAGGTTTCACGAGGAGGGATCCCAGTGCTGCAGGGAACCCCTTCYCTCGCCCATCTGGGCCACCCCCTGCCACTCTTCGCTCGCTCTCAACTCCGTTTCTATTTCAGGAAGGTTCAAATAACCCCTTGGCCGGCTGCCGTGCCAGGCTGGGAGCAGCCGTGGGCGAGCAGGCCTGTGGCCACCAGTCCTGCCCCCGAGGAGCCCGGGGACACGGTGGCTCCGGCTGAGCCCCAGGACAGCTGCCGAGGGCTGCAGGGGCCCCGGGTCACTGCGCAGCRAGCAGGAGCAGGAGATTTAAGCAGGGCTTAAATCATAGACTACAACTTCCCAAAACACCCACTGGAGGCAAGAGGGCAGGGGGAGCCAGTTGCCAGCCTGGGATAAGAGGCAAATCCTGCCTCACAAGCGGGGTGCAAGGAGGAAGAGGAGGGATGAGGGCAACGGGTGCACAAGGGCAGAGCACAGGGCCCGGCCCTTGCRGCGCAGCAGGGCAGGGGGGCGCCGGTGACAGCGGCCAGGGCAGCACCGTGTGGCTCCAGCGCGGCCCCCGAGGGGCTCCTGGCAGCGGCCAGGGAGCCTCTCCCCTTTCCTGCTCGCACCCTGGCAGCTATTTTAGAGCGCTGGAGAGAAGCCGAGGAGCTCCGAGATTGTCACCAAGGAGACTGGAGAAACAGGGAGGGAGGCACAGGCGTGGGGGGCTGCGGGGAGAGGGGCTTTCGGCAGCCCCAGGGCCAGCGCTCAGCCCAGAGSCACCCCGGCCCCACGGGGGCTGGCCCAGCTGGGCAGGCAACGTGGAGCGGGGAGCCCAACAGCTGGGACTCGGGCACCTTCCCTAGCTCAGGGAGGGATTTACACATGAGGGAGGGGAGAGAAGCGCTCCAAGGGCCTCTTCCCAGCCCTAGGCAGACCTGCTGCCCTGGGGCTGGGACTAAACCCTAGGGACACAGAGGGGAGCAGGGCCTACAGCGAGCTGGAAGGGTGCTGCCCAAGCTCACACCTCAGCCCTCGCAGCACCAGAGGGAAGGAAAAGCTCCAGAACAAGCCCAAAAGCAGCCCCAGGAAGCAGGGCCTGACGGAGCTGCCTGCTGCACCCACATACACCAGGGATACACAGCAAAGTCAAGACCCTAAGAAGAGCTGAGTGTGCTTAAACTTTAATGGAGATCCTTGAGAAACAGAGGGAAAAGAGAGATCAGAGGCCACGAGGAGAGCAGCAGCCTGCGTCGCCTGTGCACACGCTGCAGGGTTTGGCGGGAGAGGCTGCAGAGGATGCTCCCTCCCGGGCAGCTGCGCTGGTCCCACTGCACGTGGTGGCCACACTGGTGGCCGCAGCCTCTCCACAGGTGAGCAGAGGTGACGTGCAAGCCCGAGGCTCAGGCCCCAGGGCTGGGGAAGGGCAGCAGGGAAAGATCTTGGCACAGGCTGCCTGAAGAGATAAAACAGGTCAGTTACGTCTCAACCGTCGCTCCTTGCAGAGGAGCCAAGCGATGGCAGGAGAACCAGGGTGCCTTTTTTCTCCTGGGGCTGCAGCTCTGCCCTGGGGCYGGGCTGCAGCGAGGCCAGGGCAGACTCGGCTCCCTGGACCAGTGCACAGTGCCGCAGGCGGGCAGAGCTCGCCGCGCTGCCGGGGAAGGGGAAGGCCAGGCCGGCTCCGAGCTCTGYCAGCTCCAAGCGGCAGAGAAGCTGCCACCGCCTCAGGCTTCAACAAAGCCCCAGACAAAGGCCAGGCCATGCAGCCTTCCTCAGCCTTTGCCAGCTGGGGATTTCTTCTGTTTTAAAAGTCTGAAGCTAACTAGCTCTTCCCTTTGCCCAGCGAAACGTCCCTCTCTTAAAACCAGCCCATAAGCAAGTGTGCAGTGCAAGGGGTTCCCACGGGCTCCGGGGCCAGCTCCTGGCTCTTCCGTTGAGGTAGGTGCAGGTGTCCCCTGGGAGGGACGGTGGCTGCCTAATCACAGCACCAGGGCAGTGTCGGAGAGGCAGCCGGCAGGTTCCTGGCCGGCTTCACCAGTGCACTTGTCGAGAGGTAAACTCTGYGCGCGGCGGCGCCCCACGCTTCTTGGGGCCTCCTCATCCTCTTCTGAAGGGAGGAACTCGCTGCAGGAGAAAGGGACAGTAAAAAGGATCAGAGGGGACATGGAGCAAYACTCACCTGTGGTAGCATCACACACAGGCTCAGCAAACAGGGCGGTCAGGTTTCCTACACCTTCCCCATCCCAGGTAGCATCCCCCACAGATACCCACGATGGTGAGGAGACATTCTGGATGAGACACTGACTTCTCTGCATCCTGTTCCACACACAAGAGCCTGGCATGAGCCCCCACAAACTGCTGGGCCGCATTAGAGCCCACAGAGGTGCTAAGAGGTGCCCCTGGGGGATATCTTGTCTGCACATCCWGCCCAGGACAGCTCTCTCTGAACTGCATCCAGTCGAGCTGTTCTCCCTCCGGCCCCACTCCCACCAGTGCTGGACATACAAGGACAAGGAAACACGTCAGTTCTTCAGACACCGTGCCACACTACCACTTGCCCTTGCAGGAAGCAGAGACTCAGACCCCATAAATCAACTTATTCTTCTAAACACCTGCTTTCCTCRATGCCCATTCTCACAAGCCCAGTCCTAACGCTACAGTGCCAATGTCAGACRCATCACAGCGGTGCAAACTCACCCCAGGCTGGCCAGGTCCAGCTTGCCGAAGCCATTTGACTGAATGAGGCTTTTCTGGAGGAACAGAGACTTCTGCAGGCACCACTGCAGGAGGAGAGACAGACAATCAGTGGCTCCCCAAGCTGCTGCCACGTAGCAAAGCCCTCACTCTGCTGCGCTGCCAGCAGGCTGGGCTCTGCTATAGGCTGCCCTAGGGCTCTCGCACTTAAACAGCCCTCACACCACCAGGCATTGTCACTGCCACCAGTCTGCTCCCAGAATAGCAAACACAGCAGTCTTTATTTCTGTCCTAAGGCACGGAAGTGACAGAGATTGTTCCCTCACAGAGGGAAATATAGGGCAGATCAGGCTGGAAGTCTCTGGTAAATCTTTGGGTGCGCTGGGTGCAGCCTCAGATACATCAGATGCAAAGTATTTGCAGATCTGACTTACTGAATGGACATCACACTGGAAGGAGACAGAGAGGTCACTGYGTGCCAGGGCCCCCAGGCACGAAGAGCACAAACACAGGTAGGAGTCACAGGAGATTAAACAAGCACATGAGCACATCTGAATCCCGACAGCCCAGAGAGCTACGGGCTGTCCCTGCCTGCCCCCGAGGCAGGAACTCCCAGGATTGTGGGGCATCTGGCAACAGGAAGCTCATGCTTCCCAATCCTTCTCTTAACGGAGTTGAGAGCAGGCAGAGAACAAGCTCTCTGTAGCTCACCCACAAACTGACTCACCATCTGGGCCAAATCTGTTCCTGCTCCAGTGTGGTATCCTTTGATACAGCTGTCCCTCAACAGCTCCAGACCTGGACAGCAACAGAACGGACAAGAAACAAGAATGAAGGACAAAAATACGGAGAGCTGAATCCTCCAAGCCTAGAGCACACAAAAACACTGCACAAAAGGGAACTGACTGTGCAGCATGTGCCATGACTTAACTACTTGAAACAGCTGGGCTCCAGCAAACACAAGGTAAATTCAGGGCATTCACCTTTTGTACAAGCAAACACCACCACAGGGCAGCACGTGACCTGCTCTGGCATCCCTCTGGCTCCCCAGAAGGGAAACTGGGGCAACAGGGGATTTGCCAATTTAGCCCAGCCTGTCTGGCCCCTTGAGCCTGCCTCTTGCCAGCGGCGGCAGCTGATTTGGGCTGCACTGAAGGAATTTTCTGCAGTGCAAATGTGGAGCAGCTGTGTTGTCATCAGCTTCCTTCCCACAGGAGAGCTGCACGGACACCTGGGAGCAGCCCTGGAGATGGTCTCCACACAAGGACATGCTGCTCCAGAGCACACAGGGGGCTCTTTGAGGCACAGCCCTGTGTCCAGCTGCACTGAGGGCTCCATTCCCCCCAAGGCCTGTTCCACCTCCGGCACCACCGAGCTCCCTGCCACCTACTAACGACACAACGTTGAGAAGCAGAGGACTCCTGCCTTGCCTTTTTCCTTTTAAAAGTCCCTAGAGCCACAACACAAGTTAAGTTGCCTTCAGATTTAAGAGCCAGCAAAGCAAGGGCCAGGAACTTAATGCTATCCAGCTGGGGTTACTGTGGTTTTGCTATACGATACTAACCCCGGCTAAAGGAGGAATCCTTGTTGTCCACTCAAACYGTTCCTCTTTGACCTTTCAGCAAGCCCCAGATCCTTGGAAAGAAAACCACGTCTTGGTGGCCCGGGGTAGTCTGCCAGCCCCACACCAGCTCTGTGCAGCCAACAACGTTCKCCACTTTGCTGGCCAGGGAGAAACAGCAACTTTACAGAACGTGTGTGAAAGGAAAATGCGCAGAGAAAGGCTGGGTTTTGCTCAGAGGTGAAGAACAGCACCGGGCTGCAGCGATTCTGCTCTCCAGGCTAGCGCACGGAATGAGGTTCCCAGCGTTAGCAGCAGAGCTCAGGGCGGCCCTTCAGCGAGAATGGTGACAAGATCTTTCCTCCAGCTGACAGGAGAGGATCCAGCAGAGGCATTAGCGAGAGGAAGGGCAGACACGCACTGACAGTGCAGCTGGAGAGGGCTATGAGGTTACTATCTCTCTGAGAGAGACAGTTACTAACCCCTCTCATATTTACTTAAACAGCAGTGAGAAGTGATAAAAGCATTTTTCCCCACTCTGCTGTAAGGTCAGGCTATGAGCACACATATGGTCAGCTCAGCAGAGAGCCAATGGCCTCAAAAACCTTTCCAGCTTGATCAGATGTGCAACAGAGAGCCCCACAGTAAACTCTCTGTTTTCCAGTCCTATAACACTTCACRTTAGACCTCTGCCAGTTCTTTCTTGCAAAATAGCCTCTCCAGCTATTTTAGAGACAGCCCTGAGCAAGAAGAAATTGGTCTGGCCCAGTTAAAATATTTGTTGAAGTACTGTTCTTACTGAATCAGAGCTGTCCAGGAAAGGTGGAAGTGACAGCTGCATTCCTACTGCTTAAGAAAATCTTCCTTTCTCCTTTGTGCACTCAGAAACCTTTCCATAGACTAGAAAGCAACAGGAGACCAGGCAATAGGTCAGATTTTCTCTTCCCTTCACAAAATAACTTCAGGGAACAGATCAAATGACTTGAGTATTTTCTGTCTTTAAAGAGAGCAGATGTGTGCAGTAAGGGCCGCATTTACAGCTTCAAGGTCGAATCCAGTCTGCTTTGGATGGAGACAAGACAACCCTAGGACACCTAACACGCAGGTGCTGAGTACACCAGGGCAGCCAGCACCCGTGATCAACTTGGAATAAGTTTCTCCTCGCATGTAGAGCAGCTTGGGAACAGAGCACATTTTGTAAAGCAGGTGTAGGTGAGCACAGTTCACAGGCCCCTGTGAGTGCAGGCAGGCAGTGTGGCCCCGGGGACCATGCCAGGCTCTCAGTTACCTTTGTGTTTATTCAAGTAGTATTTGAGCTCCCACTGGATGGCCAGGATGTTGAAGTAACGAGGCTGCTCAAAGAAGGGCAGGTAGCGCATGGAGATGTGGGTGGGGAAGACGCGCTCAAACTGCCCGCGCCGGGAAAACTCATCCTCCGTCTCCACCAGGACACGAACATCAGCCGGGGTCAGGGYGTCCAGCATGGAGGAATAGAAATCCTGCAGACAAGAGCATCCCAGGATCAGAAGTGCACTGTGCTCTGATGCCCCTTTGCTTCTCCTCAGTCTCCAAACCCCTTCAGACAGAGATATTCGTGTGCCCAGGACCTTTGGGACACAGGCAACACCAGGAGAATAGAGAAATTCAGGCTCAGCAGTGACATCCAGGCTGCAAAGAGCTGAAATGATGCTCATCTCTCCAGCCCTACCTCTTACTGGCAGCTTGCAYGCGAGACAAGTGTCCCTGCCACCTTGCACAGAGCCAGCAGGTTAATGCTACGAGTGGAGCACAGCATCACGCAGAGGAAAGAGCAGCACTCAGATCCTGTTTGGGGACCAGCAGGGAAYGTGCTCCTCAGCACAGGTCCGTTTCAAAGCAAAGAGAACCCAGAGCAGCAGCAATTTCTGCAAACCTCTCTTTTTTCTGACCATGTGGTTTGTAACCCACTGGAGCCCAAATGGTCCCCATCATCTGGCTGTCCCCAAAGTGGGGTACAATGTGAAAAGGAGCAAGGAACATGCACGTGGGACCATCTGGGCTTGGCAGGATGGTGCAAGTGTCCGAGGAGATGCTCTCYTACCTCGTCAGGGTCCTTCTGTGTCAGGTAAAAAGCTCTCTTCATTTTCTCCACTGTGAAGAACTCAGAGGCTGACTTGGACTTCTCCTTCACAGCACTGCCCGCACTGAGGACATAAGACCCAGTAGATTATTTATATGCACAGTGCAGAGCCCTGCCACGGCAGGGCTGTTTCCAGCAACTTCTGTGTGAGCACCGATGCCTCAGGAAGATGCTACGGAACAAAGCTATTCCYCCATGGATTTTGTTAATTCTGAGGTCAGCAAAGTACCTGCAGCCTTAGGCCTCAGCAAGGCAACCTGGAAGGATGCAGGCAGGGGAAAAGACAGGGCCCTGCCAGCCCCTCGCGAGGGCACTACAACATCCCTTCATCCAAAAGGTGAAGTATCGTCTCACACTCAGGTAGGAGACAGACAGGCCAAAGACACACTAGGATCTAACACAGAGCACTTGAACCTGGTAGGATTTACATTTCCCCCTTGAACACAGCTTTCTAATTCTAAGTACAGGCCTAGATTCAGAATAGGAAGGAGAGATCTGCTACATCAAACWCTTCTTGACACATCTAAGAACTCAAATTCAGCTCCAGATGCTGCAGGAAATTCTGGCCTTTTGTAAAATCTGACCAGCAACTCTCTAAGCTATTCTAAACACTCAACTGAAGCATTTTGAAAGGCCAAAGTCTGGGATATACTTGTCCAATACCTTTTAACACTTGTATGCAACTAACTGAAGTAGTTCAGCTGATGCAAAAAGAGTTCTTAGTGTACAACTCAAGCCAGTGAAAGCAGACCCCCAGGGCTGTGCTGCACGGTCACAAAGCACACCAAAAACTCTACTAGAATTATGCCCATGAGAAAAAAAAAAAAAAAAAAAAATCCCTTCATACACTTCTCAGCACAGCAGCTGCTGTTCAGCAAGCTTTCCCTGCACACAGGAACTCCAGTCATGCCCGATCTGAACCATGCTAAGGATCTGGTTAATCCCCAGCAGGTCCCTAGGAGGACCTGCCCTTCAGCACCTCTGTTGCAAGCTGCAAACAAGCGTGAGATCCAAGTGCTGCAGAGGAGCTGGCGAGAGCTCTCTRGGCCAGGCTGCTGCTCGAGGCTTCTCCCTTGCTGGGGCACCAGGCAGGCACCATGTGCCACCACGTGCAGATGCCACCTCAACAAGCTGCCCCTTCAGCAAGCCACAGCCACCCTGCTGCAAGGACCTGCACCGGCTCCTCCTACCCTCCATCGAGCACAGGAAAAGCCCAATCTCTGAACACAAACACGGAGGCAACAGGGACCTTCCAGCTGTGCCCGGGTGGATAGCGCTCAGGAATGAGGCTCAAGGAAGAAAAAGCCACGTTGGCTGCAAGTCAGACTGTGCACCCAGGGGTCTGCAGCCTCTGGCACCCATAGCCCTGCTGAAAGAACAAGGAGCTCTGTCCTTTGCAATTTAACAGTGCTCAAYTTGCTCAAGGAGGCAGCAAGGCAGCCCTGGGGGATGGGATAAGTGGATGCAGGCCCAATGCAGGCAGGCTGTGGCCCCACGGAGAGGCAGGGTGGCCCAGCATGGGGACAGTTCTGGCTGGGAAAGGAGGCGGCAGGACGTGACTAACTGCAGAGCAGCACGAATGGCTCTGGCCTCTCTTCCAATTATGGACTCGCAGACCTGGCACAATCCTTCTACCTTGAAGAGACTGCAGGAACCAGATACCCAGGCACTGATGCAAGTCCCTCAGAGCCACAGCTAAAATTCCAGGAAACACAGGCTCCCTGCAGCACAGAAGCCAGTGTTCACGGTGCTGAAAGCAACCCCACATGAAATCCTCAAGAGGAACAGCCCATCCTGCCCTGATGGAGACGTGGGCTCACCTGGAGGTAGCGCTGCTTCCAGTTCCTGGCCTGGTGGCYGTCTTGTCCATGCTGGGCAGAACAAAGCCAGCGAGGTTGAGGACGTCCCGGATCATCTGGCCCTTGATGCTCACGTCCAGGGGGGTGTTTGAGTGGAGGCTGCAGGAAAGAGGATCACAGTGTGCTGGAGTGGAGCTGCTGAGCCCCACAGAACTGGGAGCACTCTGGGGATTAACCCCAGCTGGGTACAAAACCCAATGCACTCCTCACCTCACAATGCCCATTATAGCCATGAGGCAATGAGGAAAATCCTGAAAGGGCTTTTTGTAGGGGGCCTCCCTTTAAGAAACACTTCAGTTCTTTTCACCCTCCCAGAGGGTTACTAGAAATCACCACTCCAGCTCCAGAGGCCTGTTTGGGATTGCAGCTCCATGCCCAATTCCTGCCCACCCGCCCATGGAAGTGGATGGTGCTCGTGAACCCTTCTGCTCCCTGCCCTGCCTGGGAAACCAGGACTGGTGCACAAGGCACTGGAGCCACTGATCGCTTTGGCCCACACCAAGAAGAAATCTGTCATCATGCGTTTGATGCATGACACATCCCTCCTTGTCCTTTTTTTTTGAACATACTCTTTCCTTGTTCTAATCGGAATGTGCCCAACAAAAGCTGGAGCTGTGGAAAGAGGCTGCTTTTGCAGAAGGGAGGACTTTGACTCCTGCCATCTGCAGAGGGAGGCTTCAAACCCCAAAGTCTTTCAGCACGCAGTGCAGGGGACATCCCAGGCCAAATTCCCTCTGTGGTAAAAGAAAGGCCATTATTCMCCCTGCTCTAGCAGAGAGAGAGAGAGATTTCAGAGCAGGAACTGCTTTACCTGGGGGAAATGTTGACTTCTAAGATCCAGGGCTTGAGATTTTCATCCAGCATGATATCAAACCCAAACAGCTCGTGGCAGCAATACGGGCGCCGCACATACATCTTCACCAGGCTGTTCACATAGGTCTCAGATCTGCAAGGAACAGGAAAAAAAGCTTTTTTCTCTCCAACTGCCAGGCAACAGAGGCCTGAAAGCTTGCAGCACGTTTTGACAGCAGACGTGGCCACTTGCTGTGGGAACAGATGGTGTGAGTGACCAGTGCAAGCAGTGAGAGATACTGCTGCATTGCACAGGGATCCAGCTCCTGCATCCAACATCAGCAGCCTCTGAGCACAGGTTCCTGCTTCTGGAAGGATTCTTCCTCMGGCACAAGCACTTGCCCAAGCAGTGGAGTGGGAGACATGGTGGGCAGAGGCACTGGGTACTCTGCACCCTCCCAGCCTCCCCTCTCCCACAGCAGGTAGGTCCTGGAAATTTTAAGGGCAAAGCAGCTTCCCAGCTGTCGATGGGAAAAGGCTCCATCTCACACCCACGGGCTATTCAGCACTGGCAGAGCAAGACAGCCCCACACAGCTAGATCAGGCTGTCCAAAACTTCATCTAGAGCCAAGATCTTGACTCATTTCTATTTACTCTTTCAAGCTGTTGCAATATGTCTTAAGAAACAGAGTGAACAGAAAGATCTAGAGAGAAATCTTGAAGCTGGGACAGGGCTGGATTGTCAGAGGTGCCAAGRTGCCAGAGGAACCAGGACTCACGCAATGATGGTTTTAATAACGATGTCTTTGATCTTCTCCCAGATGGCCTCACTATCAATTCCCTTTTGGGTCAGATAGCTCCAGAGTGCTTTGAGAGCCCTGTGAGAGAGAAAGCAGAGAGTTTTGTAGCCCCTTGCTGCACAGCACAGCTACAGCAATAGAAACAGAGGGAGTTTTGACACAGCCCTCCCCTGACTGCAAGCAAAGCTGTATCTCCCACCTTTTCCAAGAACAGTCATCCTTCTGGCAATTGCCAAACCACTCAACTCCTGGCTGCTGCCCTCCCCATCCTGGCCCCTGACCTTGCAGGACCAAGCCACCAGAAACATAAATCTGTCCTAGACTTGTCCCAGCATTGGAGTATCAGCTCCCAAATTAGCACAAGCAGGGTATGTCAGCCCCAGATTTGCTCTTCCCCCGCCCTCCGTGTCCTCAGCAAACCTCCTCTTTCTGCAGGCTTTCCTCATGAGCACTGCAAAGCAGCTCAGCAGGAATCCATCAGGGCCTCCATAAATCTTTTATCTAGGGCCATTTCACTGAAGTTGGGGAGAAGACCGAGAGAAGAAAAGAAAACTCAGGGGAAAATGATGTTGGGGGGAGTGTCTCTGCTTTTATAGGAGTTTCCCATACCACACCAAGGCTGCAAGCTGCCCTGACACCGAGCCAAGGATGCTCAGATGTTGCTCAAATGAGACCATGTGGCTAATGGCCAGGAATCCAAAGGTCACGCTTCCTGCATACAAGATGGAGTTGATTACAGCTGCTCATCTTTAACGTAGGAGTAGCCAGCTTGGACTTGCTTGGGGATACTGGAAATTCACACAATCCCACCCCATGGGATTTCAGGCACAGGGGACAGCAGACCCTTCCCAACGTCTCCGTGGGGGAACAGACARCTGCAGAGCAAGCCCAAGACATCGAAACCAGCCTATTACAGCAGCCCCCCCTCCCGCAGCCCCCTTGGAAGTGAAGTAGCCCGGCCGCGAGCCCATAAATCGAGAACTCTATCCTACACTATTTTTAAAAGAGTTTGGATACTAGCACAGAATGAGGGCTAAGTGCCTGGGGATTTGGGCCAGTCTGCCAATGGACAGCAGGGAAGAGAACCCCGCAAGGCTGCAGCCCTCCTCCGAGGTAACCAGAAATAGCTCTGCTGCTCCCCAGCACTCTGCACCATTCACGGCACTAGCACAAATGAGCAATTCTGCCCCAAAATCTGCCCCAGAATCGCCGCTTTCTCCCGCTCCATTGAGGAATCAGGGGTGAAGTGGCAAGAGGCTCCTGTCTAGTCAGCTAATGCATCAGAACTGCCAATGAAAGTTTTAATTTATTTATTAATAAAATCAGACTCAGGTTTAACCACCTGCCATCAACTCCCAACCAGGACAAGAGAATGAACACACACAGGTGAGAGTGGAGTGTGAATGAGACAACAGCAATGGCAGAGCAGGGTGCAACCAAGGCAAGAGTGGAGAGGATGAGGCACAGGGCAGAGAGAAGCCTTGGTAGCTGCCAGGGTGACCCCAGAAGCAGCAGTTTCCAGGAATGAACTGGTCTGAGTTGGGAACACGGGGGCCAGAGCTGCCTCCTGCAGCTGTGTGTGTGGCAGGTGCTGGCAGGTAACCAGCACCTTCCGGCASGTCACCAGCAGGTAAACGTGAAGGTATCACCCATAGGGCAGGAAGATCTGCAATGAGCCACAGATTCTACTGATGCTCATTTGCACAAAAGTCACTCTGCTTCCTCTGTGCTTCAGCTTCCCCAYGCAGAGGCAGACAATACTGGAAGTACCTTCAACCTCTAGACAGAAGCACTGAAGAGCAGTTGACTTCGCAATGACAAGACAGAGCTGACCCTGTGTCCTGAAAGCCTCTCCAGCACCTACCATTTGTGCCCCTGACAAGCAGACTCATCTGAGTTGGACTTGTACTCCGTGTTCTTCTTGTTCACACTGTAGTTGGTCAAGTGCATGAACTTGTTGCTGAGGCTCTTCATCGAGGAGGAGTACCTGGAGGAGGGGAGAGCAGCACGAGCAGTCTGAGCTCAAACTAGTTGYCCCCACAAGGCAGGCAGAATTTCTGTCTCATCTAGGACACTGCCTCTCCTCTTGGCCACCCACAAGACTGCCTTGCAGCCATCCCCAGTGTGCCTGGAGCAAGGAGCTCCTCCACTGTCTCTGTTGCTGCTGGCCCCGGGCTGACGGGACAAAGCRGGAAGCATGCACGGAGCACGCTGCTTTGGGGCAGACACATGCCATCTCCCGTGCTGCAGGTGTGTTAAAAAGAGCAAAACACCAGTGAGCAAAAGTGCTGCAGAACTGTAAAGCCCAAGRCAAAATATTTTAAGCCACTGGCCAACACTGTGTGCTAACACATGCTAACTTCTGGTACACCAGCTCTTACCTACTATGAAGCATAGGCAGCAYATTTCAGGAACTGCTTTACATTGAGCTGATCTTGCTTTAGAAAAGGTGGACAAACTGAGCATCCGCTCACCTTCCTTTCCAACACTACCACCCAGAACAGTCCCACTTATCCAACTGTTTTTTTTTTCAGCAAGGAAACTAGAGCTCCACATAGGGAGTGACTGCCTAGGCCAGTAACACAGCGCTGGGCAGCCCTCCTGCTGCCCAGCACTGCTCTCCTCCCACAACCTACTTGCAGCTAGCAAAGCGAACCAATCCGTCCTTGAACAGGTAGACCCTGAGGGGATCGTAGCAAGTGACATAAACGTAGATCCTCAGGTCAAACTTGCTCCCGCCAATGAGGTAGGGTTTGTGCAGATATCTGCAAACGGAATCAGGCAGCAGGAAAGGGTTACGAGGTCTCTGTGCAGGAACTTCTCTAGCCCCTACAACAGAAGGCTTGGCACAAGCAGTGAAAATTGAGAGCAGGTGAAGCCCCTTCTATACAGTGTTAAGAGCATCACAGTCTAAATGAGAGAGACAGAAGCTTTCCCATATACAGAGGGGACCCTGAGGCAAGTGAACAGTATTCCTGCCTGCTCATTCCTTCGCTGAAGAGATTTTTTTTCCCAGAGGTCCAAGGCACAGAAATTCCTCTGTAAGACTGACTGCAAAATTCAGGAACATCCAGGGCATGCAGTGTGCTACAAACTCCCAGGTGGCTTGGGTTACTGAGCAAAAACAGCTGGAAATATTCATCCAAATCACTTAATTATTCAGCCCTGACCCAAAAATACTTCATGATTTTTAGTGAGAAAGCTTTTCACTTACATAGGAAGGAGACAAAAGGAACAGACAAACCAGTACAATACCCAGCCTGCCTACTACCAGGTCGATTTTTCCTGCACTTACAAAAACTTTCCAGAAGGTTTCCACTAAAATCAAGGCAAGCTATTTCACTTTTCTGCAAATGGAAGAGATTCTGAGAGCCTTACTTAGGAAGACAAAAACCCTTTGGCCAATTCCCATGTACATGCAGGCTGTTACTGTCCTGTTCTAATTAGGAGAAGTCATCGTCTTTGAGAATTCCCACCTCTTCCTTGAGAATTCCCACCTCTTCCCCTAGGACTTCTGCTTCCAGTGTGCCTGCAGACACTGGAAAAGTTACACTTGCCTCCAAAGATATCCAGCCCCAGAATAAAAAGCAGGGGGAAAGGAATCAAAACAGGGCTGAAGTYGGATGATTCATCAGACCAAAGCTGCTCCTGGGAAGCCAGCCTAAGAGCTGCTTTGTGCGAGTCCTTTATGGCCTGTGCAGAGATAGTGGCTCTTTKTCACTCCAACTGGAGCTGCTGGAGCCAGACCTCTGCAGCGCTATGCCCAGGCAAGAGAGAAATTTCCAGAAGCAAATCAGATCTAGCTGCCCAGGTCTGGCCAGAGAGAGCTGAGACAGCAGGAGATGCCAGTCTGGCTGCCTGCTGTGCTTTCCTTCACTCACCTCTGCACCAGCAGCGGTCTCTTTTTGGGGAGCTGGCTCCATTTGTGGATGACCTGGATGCCAATGCCTCTCGCTGATGCTGGCTGCGAGACACAAACAAGAGGGGGTCACATTCCCTCTCTACAGCTGCATCAGGACAGGGGGCTGAGCCCTGCTTTGCTCTTACTGGCTTCACGATCCATTTCTGGCGACTAGCTCCCTCCTCCCACGCCTTCCGCAGCAGCTTTATGTCCTGGGGCAGGATGAAGGACTGGGGAAAGAAGTTAAACTCCTTCTTCCCATAGCGGGTCTGCATCTTCAACAGGTTGCGCCACAGCCGGTCCTTCCTCCCGATTTGAAATGAACCAGGGAAGTGGTTTAGCTGGAAAGGAACAGAGATCCTGTGAGATTTCCTCATCCATCCCCAGCTTCTCGTCTCCCCTGGCTGCTCCATGGCCAGGGGATAAAGTCTCTGCAGGACTACCTGCCCACAAGAGGGTAACACTCCTTCTTCATCCTCTCTCAGGACAACACAAGGCAAGACCCACCTGGTCTCAAAGCTCTGCAGTGACAAACATCTACACAGTGTCCTGCCCTGGTTATGGAGCCAACATCTGCAGCCTGGGTACATCTGATGTTTTGTCAGTACTTGGACACTAACCCTCGGTCCTTCAGCTTTGTTTGGATGTGCTTTTTTGTTTGGTTGCTTGGTTGGTTTTGTTTTTCAGTACCCTCTACACCCAAGTAGTTTGCCKGCTTGCTTTGAAACTGGGTGCCAGAGCTCCGTCCAATTCAATGCATCACAAATAGCACAGACAGAAAGCTAACACGCAAAGAGGGGCTGGAGGCTGCTGGCTTCCAATCCCAGATGCTGCTTCAAGTTCAGTTTAGAGAACCACTTCTCCAGAGAAAATGTGRGTGTGTGATGCAATAAAAGCCTCTGGAGCCTCAAATGTTCCCCAAGCGTGTGCGACCTCCATGCTTGATTTGTGGCCCAAGCAGCACATGCAGCCTCTGGCTGTGCTGGTGAACTACTGCTCAGCTTTGCTAGAGAAAACTGACTGCTTCAGACAATATTAACTGGATTTAGTTGAACTCACAGTGAACACAGCTTGGCCACAACCTCAGTCTACAGGAGACTGCACGCACAGGAGATGCTCCTGGCTGTGCCCATCTGCCAGGCTCCAGCAGAGCACAGGGGCACCAGCTGCCACACTGTGACGGGGGCCTCTGCAAAGCCAGCCTGCACAGCAGATGYGTAGCTCTGAAGAGAGGGGCACTCAAATTGTTCCCAACATGCTCCATATGCACGTGAGCAGGGCCAGCCCAAAACATTCCCTACCTTCTGGTGCTCCCTGATGGCTCGGAAGTTGGCTGATTTCATGTGGTGGCCCCAGCAGCCCAGCCAGTCACTGCTTTCTGCAGGAAAGACAGAGAAGTCTGTGATGGAGCTCACTGATTCCAACAATTCCTTCTCAGCCCAGGAGCAGCCCGTTTCCTGGGTCTGGCAGAAACATGCCAGGGATCCTGGGTGGCAGAAGCACAAAGCAATCCTACCAGCTCCTGCCCAGGGAGCTGTCGCTGTGATCCAGCTTATCGCTTGGGTCCCAGTGCTGCTACCACAGCTGGTGCAGGGGAACAAGTAGGCATTGTGCCAGAGAAACTGCTTCAGTCCCCCAGCAATGCCTGCAGAGCAGCCTTAACCCACGTGTTAGGCAAACGCAGCAGGTGGATCAAGCAGGGAGCTACAGGGCACTGCGAGGCGTAGAACTGCAGGACGTCCTAGCACTTGCTCTGTCCTGCTCTACTGCCTCCTGTCTCCAAAGGAGGAGGGAGAAAAAAAATAAAAYAAAAAACGAAACAGCTACTGRGCAGATACACACAAAAACCCCTTAAGTAGTTTTGGAAGGCCACATGCCATGGTACCAACCCAAGCTCTGACAAGGTTGGTGCTTCCCCAGCCTCTTCTTCCACATCTCTTTAGCAACAGGATCCCAGTCTGACCAGAGCTCCCCAGTCAGACAGAAGAGGGGCATTCCCTCCACACTGGCTGACCATAGGGACAAGGGACACCAGTGCAGGGGTGGCACTGGGCAAACTGACATTCAGAGTGGCAGCACCACCTAGAGGCACAGCTTAAATAGGCCAGAGCCTAAGCACCCAAATACCACCCTCACAGGCCTGGGCCAGTCCCAAGAGCCCAGGTACAGCCTTACTGCCCGTGCCAGGGACAAGCCAAAAGGGACACTGGGCACTGCCAGGACCCTTGGGGCTTGGAGACCACAGGTCAGACACACRGACATGAAAATCCAGTGTCCCACAGTGACCAAATCTCTACCACTCCTGCTCTGCTCTTGGCAGGCACCTTTCCCACTCTCACCCATGGGCTGGAAGCAACAGAGGATACAACAAAACTCCTGCTGGCAGCCTCCAACAACTTACTCCTGCTGACTTTGAAGTGGGACCTGCCAATGGTTTGCTTCACTATGTTTGGCGTGACTGTGCTCATTTTCCACCGCAACAGCTTCCTCTGCTTCCAGGGCAGCTTTTCCACTGGGAAGGCAAAGARTTAAAGACAGAAGGAAAACAAGCAAAACACTCTACAGCTGCACCCATCCTGGACATCTGCATGAGCAGTAGGCCATGGGACACAGACGCCCCATCCAAGGATCAGACAGCCCAGAAATGGCACATGTGCAGTCCTGCTGGCAGCCTGGGACCTGCTCTCAACCAGAACAATCCCCATGTCTTGTTGCAAGAGCCATGAACCACTCAGGCCTGAAAGGAGACCAGGCACTGGTCTGGGTGGTTCGTGGTCCAGTTAAAAGAACCGGAACGAAGCAGAACATCCCAAAACCTCAGGAGATCCAGGATCTTGAGCCATTTGTTCATGCCCTGCCACATGCTGTTTCAAATGCTGCTCTTGGTCTTACTGGTCCTAGTCTCACTGATGCTCCAGGCTGCAGGAGCCACCCTAACCTTACTCTGCCCTTTGGTTTCACAGTGGTGCTGGGTGTCTCTTCGTGSAAGGGGCGAGGGCAGCTGCCAGCTCCTGGCTGGGCACTGACCCTGCTCTTGGCATCTCCCCCACTGCAGGTAAGCGGGCCCCAGCTCACCTCTCTCATCCCGAGTACTGAAGTAGATGGTTGGAGGCACATTAGGGAATAAACTGCAAACAAGAGCTGGTTTGAGCACCGGCTCCCGAGCCTCAGCTGGTGGGGTCAGGCACTTGACACAGTTCCTAGGAGAGAGGCAGCAGTAGGCAGTTGGTTACAGGGAACACAGTGAGAAGGGGGTGCCACCCAGCTCATGCTGTCTCAGCGCACAGTGCAGCACCCTCAGGTTCAACACTTGCTCCCCAGAAGCTCTGCCCCTTTCTCAAACAAGTTACAAGGTGATGGAAAGCAGTAAGTCAAGCAGAGAGCAAGCCCAAGGTGAGCCTGGTGCGTAGATAGGACTGCTGCAAGGATAAGGTCCCACGGCTGAACGGGCAAGAACAGCTTCCCCCAAAGGTCTGTCAGGAAGCACAGAGACAGGGCCCTTCGCAGCCCTCTCTGCTGACCAATCCTCCCCAGAAAAAAAAAAAACTTTTCAAAGGCTAAAGAAAAATCCAGACTTTGGGGCTTATTTCTAGGATGCCACACTGAGACAGGATCCCAGGGGGTCAGTGCGATCACTGGCCCAGGATGCCCCTGCTCCAGTTTATCTGCAAGGCAATGACACTGCAAAATCCTAATTTAATCCAGTAAACCTAACCCAGTGACTGGCAGTTGCAGTGAAATTGAGACTCCTGTTTTGCTGCTGTGRATGCACCCTCAGCATTTTGCAGGCTACTGTCTGCAGGAAGAGAGGAAAGCTTTGGTTTCCAGTGGAGAAAAAAAAAACCTTTTTGGTTGGGGAGCCACCCTCTCTATCCCCTCTACTCCCCTGCACGCTACAGCTGCCATCTGTCATCAGGGATGGCAGAGCTGGACAGCCTGGACAAAGATACTACACTGCAGTGCACAGATGACAGCTACTGACCTGGCAATAAGAGCCACTGAGCCGCTGGGAGACAGACCAGCAACAGCAGAAGTGTCCGATTCACCTGCAGGAGGGCAGAGACACAGGTTTGATCTCCTTGGACAGCAAATGGACACAGAGGAGGAGAGGAAGGCAGTATTCCTGGAGACAGGTCCTTCCCAGCTGCCCAACACCCTTGATCCCAAACCTCACCCACATCTTGGTGGCATAAAACAGAGGGCAGAGGCTGGAGCTGGTAGCCCTGCACACAGAGGAGCTGGACAAGCATCAGAGCAGGATGACTGCAAACCCCAGGCTGTTCCCCCCAGGGGAGTCTGTGCCACTCCTCCCTGCGCTGCATCCAAGAGCAATTTCACAGGAATCTACAAATCATCCCAAAATGATGGCAGGGATGTAAGAGAGGGCACCATTTCCAGCAAGATGAGAGCACTCCTGGCCCAGAGCACAGCGAGCAGGAGGGCAGCTCTGCTCCTTCCCCTGCGCTCCCCAACCTCAACACAGCAAGGAGCACTCCCCTTGCGGGGACACCACTCACTCTCCTCTTCCTCCTCCTCTTGGCTGAAGCTCTCATCCAAAGCATCGGGAAGCTCTTCCTCCGTATCCATGTCGGGATGGCTCAGCACCTCAGCATGGCTCAGCTCCGGCGGCGACTGCTCAGCGGTGACACTGGGACAAAGAGCAYCACACACAGGGACAGTGACCACCTGCTTTCTCAGGCCAACAGAGCAAGTGCCTGGCGGGGTGGGTGCGCAGTGCCAGGACAGCGCTGCCCTCCTGCCCTCCTCCTCACACACAAGCACCCATGGCAAGGGATGGCATGGCCCCTGGCAGTCAGCGAGGTGCTGAGGATCTGGGCACCCTGTAAGAGAAGAGTTTTGGGAACAGCCAGAGGGAAAAAGGTGCAGAGCACCCTGCTGGGAGAAGGTGCCTGATGGCAGCAGCACAGCAGCCACCAGAGGCGGCCCTGCCTCCCTCAGTCCTTTCCTGGCTGCAGGAAGATAAAGCCTCAACACTCGGAGGCCTGCACCCGGTTCCTGGCCATTCTGCCCTTAACTGTCTGTTACTATCCACAGCTGCACCAAAGAGCTGGGTTGTTCTACAGCCTCTTGTGGAGGTCGCCTTCCCACCCTTTCATTCCCCTTCTCATCTCCTGTCTCTGCATTTCTTCAAGGCACGATCCTTTTCCCCTTCCCAAGGACAGCGAGGGAGCTGTGTCCGCCGTGCCACCCAAATCTGCTGCCCTGCACCCCTAACCTACATCACTTCTATGTTCTTTTACACATTAAAGTCCCACATTTCCTGCAGCTGTTACATGCCTCTGCCCAGCAGATCCCTTGCCAGAACTGCCTTGACAGTTGCCTTCTCTTGAAATCCATGTCCATTTGCAGAGATGACCACAGCGAGGAGAGAGGCTCCTGCTCCAGGCCCCTTTCCTTCCCAGAAGAAGGGGAGGGCTGTGGGGCCACCACGCAGCAGTTCCATCCTTGCCAGAAAGAGCAGCCACCCTGAGGAGGCTGGAGCTGCAGCGGGGCCTGGCACCACCCTGAGAGCTGCAGCGGACCTGGGGGTGGAAGGAAGGAGCCCACCGTGCCAGGGTGCAGCAGGGCTTTGCTCAGGGCTGCAGTCCTTCCCAGCTCACAACCTGCACGGACACGAAGGCCAGACGAGGCCAGCGACACCCTCCTCCCCTGCTCCTCTACTTACTCCAGTTTTTCCGGAAGCGCAGCCTGGGAGCAGTCCCCTTCTTTCTCCAGTTGGATGGTGGATATCTGCGACGCGACCTCAGAGACGGCAGCAAGGTGGGCAGGCTGTGCCCTCGCCGCCTGGTCCCCGCGGCGCAGGGCGAGGGCGCTGAGCAGCCTGCAGGCAGCGCCGCGCTCGCCGGAGCCGCTCTGCGGGGCCAGGAGATGGGCACTGATCCGTTTAGTGCAGACAAGGGCGCCGGCRGCGCCCGTAAGGCTCGCGTTCCCATTAAGGCAATGGCTACCCATCTCGAGGTTCAGGGGGGCGATGCTTTCTTTCGGGGTGAGCTGGGCTACAATGTGCTGTCCCCACCGGCTCTTCCTGGTGGACAAACCGCCCGCGTTCGTAAGGCGAGAGCTTCGCGCCGCGTGCCTGAAGCTGCTGCTCGCAGCGACCTGCCCAGCAAGCTTCTGCACAGCCTCCGTGAGCTTGCTCTCTGCCCTCTTGTCCTCCACGCTCTGCAGCCGCCCTTCAGCATCCTCCAGCAGCCAGGAGCAACAGTCCTTCCTGAGGATCACAGTGCTGGGCACCGGGCTCAGCAGGGAGAGGGGATGCTCCGGAGCAAGGCTGTTCTTCACCGCTATGTTCACAAGGCTCGCGGGGGGACAGTCCCCCCCATCCCCAGAGTGGGGCCAGCAGACAGCAGGAAAGCTGTGGATGTTCTTCAGCTTCTTGATCTCCGGAGGCTGCGGCAAAGGCACTTGAGTATTGCTTGGCCGTAGGAAGGAGTTGTTATTGAGCACTGGTCTGTACGGGCTGGCAGGCTGCTTACCCGAGCCAAGGGCAGAGCCTTTTGCCTCAGGCCCAGGGCGTTCCTGTGCAGGCAACAGGCAGGGCTCCACGAGCAGGGAGGACATGCCCCTTCCTGCGGTAGGGCTGGTGTCCAGGGAGCTTTGGAAAGGAAACCGGTAGGGCTTGGATCTGAGGCTGAAGCGGCGGAAGAGCAGAGTGCTCCCACCGAGAGCCGGGCAGGGCTGGGCCAGGGGCAGGCTCGGGAAGGCGCTTTCACCGGGCTGCGCGTCGCATAGCAGTGGCGAGTGCAAGCAGCTGGATTGCTGCGGACTGATCCCTGAGAGCAGCAGGCTGTGATCCTGGAAAGCACTCACATGCTTCCCTTCTACGTTCCAGACAGGTTTCACCTGCTGCTGAGCGCGGGGACAGGCCCGGCGCGGCAGGGCTCTCCCTGCCTGCGGGCTGCCTGAGCCCAACCTGAAGCTCTTCTCCTGCTTGGGGCCTCGGTTACTGCGCTGGGGCCCTGCAGAGGCCATGTAGAGCCATAGCCCAGGAGGCAAACGCCRGCACAAAGAGCAGCTCCGTTGGTCACAGCGGCATCTTTGCGGCCTGCAAGAAAGGAGGGAGCACAAAGGCACCGTGAGTCCCCCTGGCAGAGCCCCGGGGCCGGCCGGGGCAGGTGACCGCGCGGAGGCAAAGCCAGGGCGAGCGGGAACGAGCAGCTTCTCCCAGGGCAGCYGGCCAAACCCTCCGTGCGGCCTTTCCGGCAGGCCCTGGCCACGGAGCCTGGCTCCAAAGGCGACAGAGGGGCTGTGTCCCGCCCAGGCGCAGGGCTCGTGGTGCCAGCAGGGCACTAGTGCTGCCAGCAAAGGCAGAGGCAGCCACGAGACTGGGCAGAGCTCAACGGCAACACAGAGCCCCAGACAAGGGGCTGGGAGAAGCCCTGTCCACACAAATGCTTTCATTCGACCCACGCCGAGGGCTCTGTGGCTGCCGGCCAGGGCTGCAAGTGGCAGCGCCGGCTGCAAGTGGCGCCGGGGCCACCCGCGACCCCGACACCAGCGCCAGCCCCAAGCGCCTCCCTCCTCGCGTGCCTGAAGCCCCACGTCCACGCAYGCACAATTCCTCTCCAAAAGAAAGGACCTTCTTCTTTTTGTGAGCCTACAGGAATGCTCTGAGAGAGCCCAGGGAATCTTAAACAGCTCGGGAATAAGAAGGTAAAGAGCAAAATAAGAAGCAGACTAACAAAAATGTCTCATCGTTTCCAGCAGCCTGGCAATACTGCACGCCTGAACAGCAATCCTAGACCAGTCTCCTGCAAGGAGCCCCGCAGACCACAGAGCTGCTCAGATGAAACATCTGAAATCCTCTTAAACCCAACTACTGCACCACACCTGTAAGATCCTTTTGCCTGGGGAAAGGAGAAAAAAAGAAAACAAACCACATGCCAGATATTTGTCTCGCTTCAACACATGCCTGGAGGGCTCCTGGATACTGCTGTGATAAGAATTCGTATCCTAAGCAGGCTGAATTACTGGCTCTTTTGCTTTTCAGCTCTCATAAACTTGCACATTTAAAAGAAAGAATAAAAGAGAAGGGATAAGCAGAGCATCAACCACTACCTATTCCCTTGATTTTCTTTTAATACACACCTTTCCCACCAGGAAACCAAGGCCAGCCTGCAGCAGAGACCTCCCAGCAAGGCTGAGCTGCTGCAGGAGCCCATATCTGGGTGTGCAGATTGGGGCCCCRCTCTCCAAGGCGAGCGGCATCCAAGCCAGACGGTGCCAGGGCCTCTGCCCAAGGCAGGAGCAGCCCGTGCGGGATCCTACAGGGGCTCGAAGTCCACAAGGAGAGCACGGATCCTGCAGAGCTCTGCAAGGAGGCACGGAGCGGTCGGGTCTGCTCCATGCTGTGCTCTCTGGAGGCCCTTTAGCACTTTGGAGGGCAGCAGGGCCGGGCCCGGGGTCCTGCAGAGCCCACACTTCACTCGGCAGCGGCCGTGCTTTGKGAGCAGGGCGCCAGCAGAGGGGACTGCTCGGTGCGGGTCTCGCTCGGAGGCGCCGGCTGCCAACCCTGCTCCCTGTCCCCGGTGCCACTGCCAGGCGACAAGTGTCRGAATCCGACGGAGAGCCGGGCATCATCCCCGGCGCCACATTATGGACAGGATACGCAGCCGTTCCGCGCTGCTCATGCCAAGCATTCCCCACACTCCCAAGGAGGACTCGGCAGCACCGCAGGGCTCCAAAGGGGAGCACGAGGCACAGCSCAGCCCCAGGAACAGGGATCCCGCGCACAGCGCCGAATTCCAGCTGCGTTACCTGGCTCACCGTGTTACCTGCTCACAGCTGGCGACCAGCTCCGCGGGGCTGTGACATTCGCAGCGATTAGCACAGAGCAAAGAGGCGGCAGCTCAGATGCCACAACCTGCCTGGATCAAATTTCCCATTGGGAAACGAGCGCCCTAAGCTTGGCTCCCACGGACCCGCGGCGTCGCACCCRCACCCCAGGCGCGTTCGAACCACGAGGCGATCCCGGCTAAGCGGCAAGGGCAGATGTGGAAGAGCGAAGCACAGAGAAGAGGGGGTAATGAAYGAGCACGCCGTGTCCCCGCGCACGGCTTGGTTTCATGGGGCCTCGCTGGGCCCTTTCAGAGCTTGGCCAGCGCCTGTGCTCCCACCTGGCTGCGAGTGACCTTGCAGCGCTCACCTCCTGTGAAAATCCCCCCCATCTCCTCTCCCACAGGGGATTTGCAGCTATGGCTCAATCACCYCGTCGCAAAAATAGACTTGATTTGTCCTAATGAGGTGGCAGCAAGGGACTTGAATCAGCGAGCGGCGCAGGGGCAGCAGCACCTTGGGAATAAGCGAAAGCCGTGGCGGAGCCGCACTGGGGACACTGCCCAGCACCAGCAGCAGCTGGAAACCAGCCCCGCAGCCCGCGGAAGCTGCGCTGGATTTCCCCCTTGCTGGGACAGCTGCAGCTGGAGCCACAGAGGGCTAAGGGCTAAGGAGGGGAAGGCAGCGCAGAGCGTCCACGCGGGGCCTGCACCAGCGCCCCGACTGCCGCGGCTTCCCTGCCGAGGCCCAAGGCCTTGGGAAGCAAAGGCCGGAAAGATAAGAGGAGATAGAAAGAGCAGAGCAGAGGGCAGAAAAAAACACACCGGCGAGCTCAGAAACAAGTGAGAGGGACCAGGGAACGCGTCTGCAAAGCAAAGGGCTTCCTGAGGCTCCGCTCCTCGTGGTGGCCAAAGGACGGAAGGAGCTGGTTTGGGAATTCTGCCCGTGTCCCCAAGCTGGATGTGACGTGCTAGGGATAACAGTGGTCACTGTACCATTAGTGTCCAAGGAGAGGGGCTCAGCGTGGCTCTGGGCACACCAGGCAGTGGTTTAAAGGGTCCTTCCCCTCCCTGCCCTCGGCTCCTCACTGCCACTCCAGCCCCGTGCAATCCTCACTGCAAACAGCTCCGGGACCTCATGCCCACCCGGCCCTCGCAGGGCTTGGGTCTGGAGGAAGGTGATGCAAGCACCAGTTCTGCCAGCCCAGCCATGTGGATGCGGCAGGAGCCCCTCTGGCTCCCCTATCCGTAAGCGCTACCGTAGGAACGTGAGCTGGGAGCAGCCCAGCTCTGCTCCCAGGGCAAACTCAGGGCTGGACATCAAGTCCCAACATCATTACTAGGAATTCCCAGAGTCTGGCTCGCACGTACTGGCACACGATAGAGAGGCTAAAGATGTCCCTGTTTAAGGGATCACACAGCTGCACCCACTTATAGGGATTTAACTAATGTCTTGTGTTATTGCACAGCCGGCTCGCAAGCTTTGCGATGGCAGCTGGAGCGTTGCCAGAGCCTTTACAAATGTCACATCCCAGGCACGCGGGGACACCAACTGCCCCGGCCTTCACTGTCCCCTCAGAGCGTCCGTGGAGGGATAGTGCTCCCTGCGTCCTGCTCCTCCTTGCACTACACTCCTTGTACACTCATTTTTGAGAGAACTAGTGAGCCCATCAAGAGCCTGGGTGCACAAACCACATCTCTTCATGAAAGTTTTATTGAGTTTACTGTTTTGAAGACAGTTGTGTTACTCTTGAAGTAATAAGAGCTTGAAAACATATGAGCTATAAGTTGTCTCGATAAAGTGCTGCTGGCCTCAAGCACCCAAAAGTCACGAGAGGAAGCGGGGAGAGGAAGGAGAGAGAAAGAAGGCGAAAAAAAAAAAAGATTTTCTATTGCTTTATATAGCAGCACCGGGCACAATTTCAGTCTGTCCTTTATGGTTGGAAGGATAAAAAACGAAGCGCAGACTGCAAAATAGGTCAAAAAAAAGACCACAGTGAAATATCCACCCAGTGTCAAGAAGGGTCAGCAAATTCCATGGGCACCCAGGGATTACATTAGAGCCTGGCATTCAAATCTATGTTTATGCTGTGGCTAGTCAGTCGAATTTGATGGTGGCGGCTCTGAACTTCYCTTCATGCTAAGCCAAGGAGGCAGGAGAAGCAGCATTGCTCCCCAAAGCAGCCCCTGTGCTGAGCAGAGAGGGGCTGCAAGGGCAGCGCTGCTCCCACCTGGRCCATGGGGATCAAGGGACAGAGGGAGCCCCGTGGGGACCAGGGGGGTGGACGGAGACCTTGAGGTCTCCCCTGCCAGAGCTACCCCATATGCGGCCCATAGCACTTCACCTGTGACTGGGCTACCTGGCCCTGTCAGGGGCCTTCACTGCTGGGCAGAGGGCCACAGCTCGGAATGAAGGCTGCAGAGGTCCGATTCCGCACAAATAAAGTTTGTCCAGTACAAAACTTAAGAACTACCGCGAGAAAACAAATGCAAACAAAGAAAAGTTTCAAAACTCACTAAGTAAAATTGCTAAGATAAAGGAAAAATTATTAGATACAAATGCCAGCAAGGAAACGTTTGCCTGTTACCTCACCCAGGCTGCCTGGGTCAAATTCAGTCTCCGAGCGCCGGCCGCGTTATCCCTGTGCGGCTGAGCCCGCAGCTCCGAGCGGGAGCCGCCAGACACACACGCTGAGTGCGGAGCACGAGGCAGTGACAGGCRGGAGCCACACAGAACACAGGGCAGGCTCTGGCGCGGAGCTGCTGGGCTGGACTCACCACGCTCGTGAGATACCTGCAACCTGCCCCACAACAGGGCAGGGAGAGACCAGACCGAGACAGGCACYGAGGCTCCCCCCGACCCGTTCCTGAAGACATTCCGGAAACACTCCCTTGTCTCCCTTTAGCAGCTCTGCCACTCACCTCTCGGAGCCGCAAGCTCCTTTCCACCCCAGCCGCGCCYCTGGCCGAGGCCTGGATGGCGGGATGAGCAGCAGAGCTGCTCAGCACCCGGCACAGGGCCCTACCCGAGCACCGAGCACCTCACCGGGCGCCCTGGGGAGCCAGCGCGTCCTCCTCCTCGGTCACAGTGTGCTGGAACACGCTCTGCTGCTCTTTTTCTCCAGTAAGASAGGTTTTAGGGTCAAAGATGCCACCTAGACCACACGCTACCCTATGGGTGGGGAGGCCCGGGACCGGGGGCAGGGCGAGGCGGGAGCCCCACAGGGCCCYGCCGCACCGGGGAGGAGAGGAGCGCCGCGACGGGGCGGGGCAGGGCAGGGGGCTCTTCGCTCTCCATGTGGGCCGCGCGTTAACGGGAGCCGGGGAGGGGACAGGCCCCGCTCCCTGTGGGACGGGAGGGAGGTGCTGCCCGCCGCTCACGGGGCCTTAAACGGGGCCGAAACGCGACACCGACAGGCCCCGGGAGCGGGCCGCGCGCCGCGGAGCGAGGGAGGGCGGCCCGGGGAGGGCGGCCCCGCACTCACCGG